CGCCGAGAGAAAATGGAAGAGCGAATACTGTGACGGCCTTCGTCAGCGAAAGATTTCAAACCTTATGGGCAGGAGTTTGTTCCCCCATGAAATTAATTGGTTCCCCGGCACAAGATGCGCGGCATGCGCAGTATGTGGTCTGCGAATCCCAAAGGCAGCAGGGTACAGGCATGAAGGTGCCGCACCTGGCAGGCGGGAAGTGCAAGGCTTGCCAAGTGCGGCTTAGCCGTTCCTTCAAATCCTTTGTTCAAGTCACATTAAGAATCCTAGGGAACAGCTTGGGTTCAGGATTTAGAGTTTCGGGTTTAGGGCTCTATGGAAACACAAGTTCGATGGGATCACAAGTTTGATGTCATCAGCTACTGGTGAAGATAAACTTGAATTCAAAAGCAGTTTGCAAACAACAGCTGCATGGAGAAAATCAATTACAGGAATTAACGTCGATCAACGAATATGCAAATACCCTAAATTGGCGATCTAAACCCTCAGCCCATCCTGTTTCACGCCGACTTCGCACCATAGACCTCGCCTGGCATGTCCGAGTTGTGAGAGCATAAACCCCAAACCCTCAATCCCACACAAGTAAACCAGGCATGGTGAGATTTCGTACCCTAAACCCTAAGCCGTAAATCTCTACTCTAAAGGAACTCTTGCCCACCTGGAGCTGACGGTGCGAACGCTTAGCCTCGCTTTCCCTGAGAATTTTTGCAGGGGCTCCTAACATCCAATCCTATACTATACTACACTATACTATACTGCATGTCCTATGTCCGGTCGCAGTGGCTCTGTCCGTCCGTCTATGTCTCACGATTTGCAGATGTTGGACTTGTGTCGCTTCGAATGAGAGGTCTGGTTGGCGCTTGACCGGGACACTGGCGATTTCTTGACTGCAACTCATGGCCCTAACTTACCGCCTTAGCTACCGCTTTAGTTACTGCTGGTTTTGCTTTGTATTAAGCAAAGGAAGTCCAAGTCTTCAAGAAGGAAGCTGGGGAGCGCTTGGAAGCTGCTTTCCGCACTGGCCGGACGAGCGTTCCGCTGGCTGGCTTGGAGGACGCACTAGAAGGAGCCATTGCCGCCAGACTAAAGCCACAAGTACAGCGAGTGTCGCACCACACTCCGACTGCTCGAAATGATTGCCATCACCGCAAAGATCGACAGCTCTTCTGCACTCTCCAAGTGCATTCTGTATCGCTCGTTTTTTGCTGCAGATGCTGGTTTGATCTTCTGTGTACACGTGCACGCCGATTCTCTTCTGTGCTGTGTGGTTTGGACGTTTATACTGGTACATTGTTGATGTCCAGTGACAATGTCGCTTCTGTTGTTGTGCCAGACAAGTGCTCGATTCACATTTTGGGTTTGAAGTGTCTGAGAGCGCGACTCTGTTTCTACATCATCCACAACTGCAGGTGGCCTTCGACAAGACCTCTCAAAGCTTCGCACATGTACGCCATATGGATGGAACTGAAGCAGATGTCCAGCGGTTTGAAGTCACAGCGTACAGCTGCCTGACTGCAGACGACAAAAGTTTGCCTCGAGCCATAGGAAGCCCATGCTACGGAGGGTGGGGATCAGGATGGGCTCTTCACGCCTCCGAGCCCATTGGTGTGTAAGCGCTGCTTGTAGCACCGGGAAGGCTGTCTGATTGGAGTGCATGGGCGAAACATGTCACATGCCACACGCCAGCGAGCATGTTTGATTTGTGCTTGCGCTCGTAGAAGTGCATTTGTTGACCGGGCTCGTGCACACTGAGCCGACGTTGTAGAGGGTGTGCCTCTTCTTGCAGGTTCCGAGATGGCCGTTGGATTGGTTGGACCACCTCACGGCGGCAATGCGTGGCGGTTTGCAAAGGACGATGAGACTGGCCACGAAAGGCCCCGTGACCCATGCCCATACATTCATGCGATGGTGATAGTATCTCTGTGTTAGAGCAAGAAGAGCGCACATTGCAGGCTTCTCCCCCTTCTGGGCACCGAGTTGGTGAGCCCGCCGTCCCCAACGCTGCCTCCTGTGAGTCGAAATCGTCACCCGGCCAAGTAGCCAAGTAAGGCTGTTTTCGGCTTTGGCATGAGCATGTTCGCTGCTGCTCCACTGCCTTGTGAAGCCCTTGCCTGTTGCCAAGGGCAGGTGTACTACATCAACGCTGCTTGGATGCAAAGTTGCTTATAATGGCAGGTTGTCGCAACGCCAGGTCGTTGAATTCACGAATTGAGCTGCGACTGCGGTCCAGGCCTGTGAGAGGTCTGGAAAACCTGTTTCTGCTTCCAGGCCGGAGCTGACTGGGCAGGCAGCGACTCCTACTGAGGTTGCGATGACCTCTGACTTACGCTCCCCTGCACAATTTATCAAATTCTTGAATGAAAATTTCTTCGATTGTAAAATATGAAAGAGTTGTGACCTGGGCGAGAAGCAGCTCTGAGCTCGGCGTTCATCGGAGCTTGCGTGCCTGGCACCTTGGACTGTACTGGTAGCGACATGCGGTATGTTGACGTTTCACCATGTTTCACTCGTCCCCTTCAACAGATGCCTGAAGTTCAGCTGGCACTAAACATACGCTCGAGTACTTGATGTAGCTGCATTCTGTGTTCCAGCATTGGCAATGCGGCCATGATATGTCGCCACGAATCATCTCTAGCAGCATGCTCACAGGGGGGCTAGCCAGGAAGAAGGAGCTTTGGCATAAGTTTGCGGCAAATCTTCCTCGCCGCCGGGGATCGGGCAGCTGTTTTTCATACAGATCGAGACACTAGAGCTTTGATCTACTTGCACGCAGATGCTGCGATGTGTATATCGGCTGAACCCGCGACAAGACACCGTAGTCTCAATGAGCTTGTACAGTATTTCAGTTACGTGCTACGGGAAAAGGAAGATGCCAGCAAGTCTGCCCTGAAGCTCCATGTCCGACACAGCCAAGCTTTCAAAGCGCCTGCAAAGCGAAGGTTTTGGGGCCAGAGAGATCTTGGAGAGGCACGCTCAGCTGTGAAGATCTGTGAAGTGTTCAGTTTCACAAACTTGGACATGGTGTGATGTTGGGCCTACGGTGGGGTTCATCTCTGTTCCTGCCATTCAGGCTCAGAGCAGGTGTCAAACCTTTCCTGCTCGCCTCCATTTGATACTTGTACTCTTTCTTGCAAAAGGATTTTTTTCGCAGATGCGTGATATGTTCCATGGCTGGCGGCCTTGTGCCGGGAACTTAGCGCAGCGCTGCCGAGCGTTCTTGAGTGTTTCTTGAGCACCTGCGGCTGCCAGGCGTTGGCCCTCTTCTTGCTTCTAGCAAGAGGGCAGGATGCCTGCGAGGACAGCGGTCTGAGTGTGCATAAAGGACGCTGTGAGGCAGCAAATTTGCAGACGTCAGGCAGACTCACGGTGTGCAGCCGTGAAAGACACCTCTCGACACGAGGCTGAGTCTGTGAGACTAATTTTGCAGAGCTGCGATGCATCTGCCCCTGCCCAGGCTTCCGGCTTCCTGCAAACAGATGCCTCCCGAAGAGTAGTTCGCATTGATTCGCAGGCACACAGGAAGATGAATCCAGCACTGCCAGCCGCTTTTGCGCGTTCGCGCTCCGCAGGGCGACTCGCGGATAGAGGAGGAGGCCCTGGCCCGGCCCAAACAGCCGGAGGAGAGCGGCAAGCCTCCTAGACAGGCTAGGGCCTCGGGGCCTCAGGCTGCTCTCTTTTTTCATCGCAGGAAGATTCGGCTTCTGATTCTGAGGCTAAGACTGCAACAAGCAAGGCACCTTGCATTGTGTTTCGGGAAGCCTAAGACCCATGAAGGCATGCAAGCCGGAGCAAAAGGAGTTGAATTGAGAAGATGTGGTCCACGGCACTACATCTATCCTGTTGGCCAGGTAGGTATCAACTTGTCCGTCAAGTGGATGAAGCAGCCTCTGCCTGTCAGTCAGGCATGGCTGCCTAGCATGTCATTTCGCGAGGGTTAGCTTTGGAAGTCCGTTAGACCGCTAGATGAGCTACATGGCTGGTGTAGGCCATTGCTGCTATACCCCGGATACAGGACAGGGAAGGGCAGATCAGTCAAAAGCATCGATGTTCACGAGCTGAGCATTCCACTTCAGATCTAGCGCGGCAATGTGGGTTGCATACGTAGGAGCATCTTGGTCTGTTGCGCCCGATCGAGCGTGTGGGAAGCCCAGATGTAAGACGATGCAAGTCAAGAAGGGCGCGGAGCTGCATAACGAGTCTAGCGTCCAGATCCGAGTTTGTTGTTCCCGTTTGGGCTACGCGTTCAGGTCAAGACTTACGACCTTGCACCATCCAATCGCGAGATTGTTGAGGAGCATTTTCCAGTGGAATGTAGTTTTATGCAGTTCCCATGTGTCGATTTCGAAATCAGTCTGTGAGATCTCTCCCAGGAGCTCGTCCGCCAATCTAGCAAGACGGATGGCTCGAACATCGTGGACATCAAGGAACTTGTGATCGGCATTGGCAACAAGGAGCACCGCACCTCTTTTGCATGACCTTCCGCCTTCTGAGATAGCATGAGAGCATTCGCCCGTGGTTTGGAAAGTCCAGTGTGCCTTGTGCTGCTGCCGGCAGAAATTCCTGGTGATGTTCGGTGCACCAAGCGCTGGAGTTGGAGGAACTTCCGTTCGTGGACATGGACTGGCTCCGAAGTGTTGCTGATGACTTTAAAGGCAGAGGAATGGAAGTGGTTCCCATGACTTGACAGATGTTGTGGCTCGGGATGGCAGGCTCCCTTCACATTGCGATTGGCAATGAGCCGGATCGAAGTGGTGTCCACTCGGACACTGCCACAGCTAGAGCAGATAGATGGTTTGATCTGCGATCGGGAGAATGAGTTTGGCTTTATTTCACGTTCCCAGGATCGGGTGATCGAAGTGATCAAGGCCATAAGAGCAGAAATCCCGGAAGCGCAAGCACCTGCGCTTAAAGTGGACAAGGGGGGCATTTCCTTCCTGAGACTGAACACAAGTAAGGCGTTCATGCCTGCTGCGAGTCATTCGCCTTGAACCCAAGCTGTGTAACTGTGATGAACACCGCCTGCATCATTGAGGTGACCGTGCCGTTCGCGTATTCGATTATGCACAGAAGTCACCCCGTGCAAAAGTCAAAATTGGAAGCTGAGTTCATCGAAAAGTGTCTCGCCAGCAGAGGGACAGGATGGACCAGGTATCACAGCGGGTTGTCGCGAGAATGCAGCGGTCTGAGGTACAAAGATGTCCTCCCCCTGTTGGACTACTTCACGATCAACATTTATCCCTTCTTGAGCTGTGGGGTTCGAGGGGTAGCGATGGAAAATCTGACTGGCCCGGAGATGAATTTCCTGAACGACCAGATCTCTGCACTCCGCTGCTCAGCTAGACAGCTAGACACCAGGCCAAGTCTTTCGAAGCACCGGGGCTTCGGCTTTGCAGAGGTCTTTCAGCTCACCGAGGTATTGCCCTGGATCGTGATTTCCCACACAACAACTTGCCCCTTGCGATTGGCCGCTTGCTCCAAAGCAGTGTGCTCACGTCAATGTTACGGTACGGTCGACTACTGTACAGAACAAAATGACCAAGCAAACATGACATGACCATTAGCAAGCCAGCGAGCTGGCCTTGTGTTGCTGCAGCCAGCACCAGAATTCTCATCATGATCGTCAGTGAATGCTAGGCGCTTACAAGAAGTACTCAGGTGAGACAGGATGGCCCACATGTGGGGCTGCCCGTGCCTTTCCATATGCCTATGCCACGCTCGACCATGCGAATCGCTTCGTTCGGAATGTGGCCCGTTGGACACCTGGCCTGCCATGAGGTTCAGGGTATGTGGAGCTTGAGGTTTAGGAAGTGCAGAGCTGGTCATTGAAAAAAACGGGGGACATGCTGCTGCAAGGATGGAGTCTAGCCTGTCCGACGGGCGCATCGTATCGGGCCAGCTTTTCACTGCTTTCGACGAGGAAACCAAAGGCACTCGAATCCCGGCGCACTTCAGACAGCAGATTGCTACTGGTAGTGGTGGCAGCGAACAGCTGCTTGTCGTTATCATGTTCCGAAGTGCTGCGCCCCCAGGACCGAGTGAAAGATACTACGGCATCTTGACATCGAAAGGCGAAATCAAGAGCGAATTTTCGTGCGTCAGCAATGCCACTGTGCCTTGGCCTCGTTTTGCCATCATGTGCGGCTGCGCTCGTTTGCGGGCACAGCAAGTAGCACATCTACAACAGAATCATACACTCACAGATGCACAACTTGGGGTAGTGTGTGTGTGTGTTTTAAATGAGACATCAGTGGTGAATCTCTCTCTCCCTCTCCCTCTCTCTCTCTCTCTCTCTCTCTCTCTCTCTCACTCGCTCGCTCGCTCACTCATTCATTCACACACACACCTGCACCAAGATAGAATGGGACAAGCCCAAAGACCGGCTCGCGCCCAGGAGCCTTCGCAAGCCTGGCTGGAAGAGCTTTATCCAGACTGTGAGAGCCCCTTAGAAGAAAGCAGAGGCCGCGACCTCTCCGTTCAGTGGGTTTTTTTATGGGATCAAAAATCTTACTTTTAGTATGCGATATGGTGTGTCTTGCACAGCATACGTTCTGCATCACAGTTTACAACTTGCATTTTGTTCAGTACACATCATTTGTTCTATAAGGTGCAACATGTGTTCCATCTTGCGTGTTATAGTATAAGTCGTAGCTGTATGTTTTATACTATGTGTTACACACTCTGCAAATATTATAAGTTATAAATATAAACGATATGATGTGTAGGAGTTAGTGTAGTGTATACGTTCTATGGTACACATCATAGTTCTACAACAGTAGATATTACAGGTATACAAGGTATGTTACATAGTTAAAAAAGTATTGTACAACATACATTTCATGTTATCTTCTATTAACTGTTGCTACTACCAATAACATTATTTCCAAGTGCTGAACAGCAGACATTGCATATCATAAAGAGAGAGGTATCAGATTACATGCCACAGGTTATGTTTTATGATATATGCATAATCTGCCTGATGTATGAATCAGTGGGTGGTAGACAATACATGGTACTGCACTAGATTGTATTGTATTTTTTACAAGCGCTTACACAGTGCATGTATATATATATATACATACATACATACATACATACACACACACATACATACATACATACATACATACATACATACACACACCCACACTGCTCTTGCATGTTCATGTTTGTAGTATATTGTACTTTTGGTTGTAGTCTACATAGCATGTATACAAGTTGTACACACACCCATATATGTGTCTTTGTAAGAGTCAGGCATTTACATATCCCTATATATGTATATACATACACACGATGCATGCTGT